AGGAATAAATGGGATTAGGTCAGGGGTTTTAAATAGAGTTAGAGCTAAAGAAGGAGTAGCAATAATGTTGAAGGATAAGCTATAGCAGGAAAAGAGGGACTATAAATGTATTAATTCAAGGATTATGTGGAGTAAAATAAAGGTTGGATGTGAAAAGTGGGTTAAAGTAAGCGTATATGCACCTGGAGAAGAGAGAAGTGTAGACAAGAGAGAGAGATTTTGGGAAATGTTGAGTGAATGCATGGGGAGCTTTGAACCAAGTGTGAGAGTACTTGTGGTTGGGGATTTCAATGCTAAAGTGGGTAAAAATGTTATGGAGGGAGTAGTAGGTAAATTTGGGGTGCCAGGGGTAAATGTAAATGGGGAGCCTTTAATTGAGCTATGTGTAGAAAGAGATTTGGTAATAAGTAACACATATTTTATGAAAAAGAGGATAAATAAATATAAAAGGTATGATGTAGCACGTAATGAAAGTAGTTTGTAAGATTATATATTGGTGGATAAAAGGTTGATGGGTAGGCTCCAGGATGTGTACATTTATAGAGGGGCAACTGATATATCGGATCATTATTTAGTTGTAGCTACAGTTAGAGTAAGAGGTAGATGGGACAAGGGAAAGGTGGCAACAACAAGTAAGAGGGATGTGAAAGTGTATAAACTAAGGGAGGAGGAAGTTCGGGTGAGATATAAGCGACTATTGGCAGAAAGGTGGGCTAGTGCAAAGATGAGTAGTGGGGGGGTTGAAGAGGGTTGGAATAGTTTTAAAAATGCAGTATTAGAATGTGGGGCAGAAGTTTGTGGTTATAGGAGGGTGGGGGCAGAAGGAAAGAGGAGTGATTGGTGGAATGATGAAGTAAAGGGTGTAATAAAAGAGAAAAAGTTAGCTTATGAGAGGTTTTTACAAAGCAGAAGTGTTATAAGAAGAGCAGAGTATATGGAGAGTAAAAGAAAGGTGAAGAGAGTGGTGAGAGAGTGCAAAAGGAGAGCAGATGATAGAGTGGGAGAGGCACTGTCAAGAAATTTCAATGGAAATAAGAAAAAATTTTGGAGTGAGTTAAAGAAAGTTAAGAAAGCCTAGGGAACGTATGGATTTGTCAGTTAAAAACAGAGTAGGGGAGTTGGTAGATGGGGAGATGGAGGTATTAGGTAGATGGCAAAAATATTTCGAGGAACTTTTATATGTTGAGGAAGAAAGGGAGGCGGTAATTTCATGCACTGGCCAGGAAAGTGTACCATCTTTTAGGAGTGAAGAAGAGCAGAATGTAAGTGTGGGGGAGGTACGTGAGGCATTACGTAGAATGAAAGGAGGTAAAGCAGCTGGAACTGATGGGATCATGACAGAAATGTTAAAAGCAGGGAGGGGATATAGTGTTGGAGTGGTTGGTACTTTTGTTTAATAAATGTATGAAAGAGGGGAAGGTACGTAGGGATTGGCGGAGAGCATGTATAGTCCCTTTATATAAAGGGAAGGGAGACAAAAGAGATTGTATAGATTATAGAGGAATAAGTTTACTGAGTATACCAGGAAAAGTGTACGGTAGGGTTATAATTGAAAGAATTAGAGGCAAGACAGAATGTAGGATTGCGGATGTGTAGATCAAGTGTTTACATTGAAGCATATATGTGAACAGTATTTAGATAAAGGTAGGGAAGTTTTTATTGCATTTATGGATTTAGAAAAGGCATATGATAGAGTGGATAGGGGAGCAATGTGGCAGATGTTGCAAGTATATGGAAATAGGTGGTAAGTTATTAAATGCTGCAAAGAGTTTTTATGAGGATAGTGAGGCTCAGGTTAGGGTGTGTAGAAGAGAGGGAGACTACTTCCCAGTAAAAGTAGGTCTTAGACAGGGATGTGTAATGTCACCATGGTTGTTTAATATATTTATAGATTGGGTTGTAAAAGAAGTAAATGCTAGGGTGTTCGGGAGAGGGGTGGGATTAATTATTTGGAATCAAATACAAAATGGGAATTGATACAGTTACTTTTTGCTGATGATACTGTGCTTATGGGAGATTCTAAAGAAAAATTGCAAAGGTTAGTGGATGAGTTTGGGAGTGTGTGTAAAGGTAGAAAGTTGAAAGTGAACATAGAAAAGAGTAAGGTGATGAGGGTATCAAGTGATTTAGATAAAGAAAAATTGGATATCAAATTGGGGAGGAGGAGTATGGAAGAAGTGAATGTTTTCAGATACATGTACTTGGGAGTTGACGTGTCGGCGGATGGATTTATGAAGGATGAGGTTAATCATAGAATTGATGAGGGAAAAAAGGTGAGTGGTGCGTTGAGGTATATGTGGAGTCAAAAAATATTATCTATGGAGGCAAAGAAGGGAATGTATGAAGGTATAGTAGTACCAACACTCTTATATGGGTGTGAAGCTTGGGTTGTGAATGCAGCAGCGAGGAGACGGTCGGAGGCAGTGGAGATGTCCTGTCTAAGGGCAATGTGTGGTGTAAATATTATGCAGAAAATTCGGAGTGTGGAAATTAGGAGAAGGTGTGGAGTTAATAAAAGTATTAGTGAGAGGGCTGAAGAGGGGTTGTTGAGGTGGTTTGGTCATTTAGAGAGAATGGATCAAAGAAGAATGACATGGAGAGCATTTAAATCGGTAGGAGAAGGAAGATGGGGTAGGAGTCGTCCTCGAAAAGGTTGGAAGGAAGGGGTAAAGGAGGTTTTATGGGCGAGGGGCTTGGACTTCCAGCAGGCGTGTATGAGCGTGTTCGATAGGAGTGAATGGAGACGAATGGTATTTGGGACCTGACGATCTGTTGGAGTGTGAGCAGGGTAATATTTAGTGAAGGGATTCAGGGAAACCGGTTATTTTTATATAGCCAGACTTGAGTCCTGGAAATGGGAAGTACAATGCCTGTACTCTAAAGGAGGGGTTTGGGATACTGACGGTTTGGAGGGATATGTTGTGTATCTTTATACATATATGCTTCTAAACTGTTGTGTTCTGAGCACCTCTGCAAAAACAGTGATTATGTGAGTGAGGTGAAAGTGTTGAATGATAAAAGTATTTTCTTTTTGGGGATTTTCTTTCTTTTTTGGGTCACCCTGCCTCGGTGGGAGACGGCCGACTTGTTGAGAGGAAAAAAAAAAAAAATTGTATATCTTATTTTTCGAAAATTTAGCCAGTCAGAAATGGAGAAGCTGGGTGCCCTTGACACCGGGGTGTCTTGTTCACTGTAAAATATGATAATTTGTGATATCTGAATTATGTTACTATGTTAATCTGTTACTATACATAATGAAGTACTAGTATGTATTATGTAATTTGACTTTCGCACGATCTAGAAAATAATTCCAACGCGATTTGTAAGTTAGCCCCGTCTGATCAATATATTTTTCACATCTTTTATGTTTTAAATGGATACCAAATTCATCAAAACTAGAGCCAATGAAGTAAAATCGATGACATACTAGGAATCAGCACTACAAACTTAGCCTAAAATCGGTGTAATATCATTGGCCAGAAAATAAGTGTTGCAGCAATTTGCATTTATGATCTCGTGTTTACATCACTATCAAACAAAACCAAATACACCTACCATCCGACTTACGACCTGCTCAACTTACGACCACTCGACTTACGACCGTGTTTTTTATGCCAAATTTCTGGAAAATAAACAACTATTTGTGTTGTACACAGTATTTATCCTAAACCTTACAGTATAAAATACAGTACTAACAGCATAAAAAGTAAAGTAAAACATGAAATACCAAAATAAAACAATAAAATAAAATTACAAAAATGTTTTGTTGATATTCAGTAGTAAAGTTCGACTTACGAAAATTTCGACTTATGACAGGTTTCTCGGAACCGAACTCTGTCGTAAGTCGGATGGTAGGTGCAATAATAAATACTAATAATAATATGTAATAATAATAATATGTAATAATAATAATATGTAATAATAATAATAAAATAATTTTATTTTAGCATGATACATATTTGTACAAAGGAGTATAACTGGGTATACATGCCAAAAGCCTCTTTATATGCAGAACATTTCGAGCAAACTTAAGACTAACTTAAGATTAATAAGGTAATAACAGTGAAGTAATTGTACATATGGTCATTAGTGAGTCACAATGAATACAAGAAAACTTACTAGTCTATTAGTTCATGCTATATGGCCTTAATAAGTCTGGTAGAGAAGAATTACAGTTTTGATTATTAACCTAAGGTGGACACAATGGAATAATTAACATTTGAGAGAATTACAAATATTGTGAGATAATATGTAGAGAGATAGATCTGTCATTTCAGCAGAGCCTTCAACACAGGAGGGATGTGGGTGGCCTTACTGTTATGTACAAGGCCAATATTGTCAAAATACCACACTTGGATCCACTTCGAGGACAGCGTGAAACAAGCTTTTATGCCACAAGACGGGCAGAAAGCAGCAACTTCACTCTGGCTGTACCCTTCTCCAGAACATCACTCCATCTGAGATCATATATACCCAGGATGACTCGAGTATGGAACACATTCGTACAGCATAATGATGTCAACGAGATAAAGTCAGTTGATCAAATGAAAATGCTGGCTCACAGATGGCTCCAACTTCATCCTGTTCCCTACTTGTATGACTCATAACAATAAAAATGCTTTCAAATGAGCTGATGTAGGTAACAGCTCTTAGCTTGGCAATAGAGTTAGGAATCCTTAACCTGTAAATAGCTTGTCAATAAAGCTAGGGATCCTTCACCTTGTCAAACCCTGTGTTAAAAAAAAAAAAAAAAAAAAAAAAAGAGCAGCAGACACATGATATGTAGCAACACTTGCCTTGGAATAAGGCATGTACAAAAAAAAGAAGCCAAGGCACCAAAGAAGAAACAATTCAGAACTAATCCTCAATTTTGAAAATTATCTTTTGATAATGTGTATGGTCCAGAAGAGACCAAAACACGGTTTAGAGACTCCTCTCTGAACTGTGGGTTACTAGTAAAAATGCAAGCAATAATGACTAATCAAAAATTCTATACATACCCTTTGAGCTTTGTAATTGGACACAGCCTCAAATGCCTGCACCTGTCCTGCAAGAGAAAATCAAGAACATACAGTATACAACCTCTCCTGATTTAGTGACATACTTGTTTACCGACGCCTCAGACTTACGATGAGCTCTCTGACCAGTATGCATACCTAAATAATGTATATTAGAGCTGATTTTCTCTATTTCAATATACAGTACATTACTGTATAAACATTTAAAAATATACCAGAAATGTTATAAATGGTGCAAAGGTGACATTAAAACAATATCAAAGATGTGTGACACAAATTCACTACCATTACAGTGAGCTCCTCACATAGCGATGAAATCGTTAAATGACATGGTCTAAGGAACGGAACTCTGTCATTAAGTGAGGAGAGGCTGCATAAAAAATTAAAAAAATGTACAAGCATACATTAGTAATATGGTGGGTTTGGTTCCAGTCTGCCGCCGTAAAGAGAATATTGCCTTAAAGTGAATTACAGCCTTTTTCACTTGCCAATGCATATAAAAACCTAAAAACATGTTCACACTATCATTTATGAAGTGTGCAATAACATAGGCCTAAACAAAGATGCAAAAGCAAAATTATTTATTTTTATTAACACATCAGCAGTTTCCCCACCAAGGCAGGGTGGCCCGAAAAAGAAAAACTTTTATCATCATACACTCCATCACTGTCTTGCTAGCTAGAGGTGCACTTACACTACAGTTATAAAACTGCAACATTAACACCCCTCCTTCAGAGTACCGGCACTGTACTTCCCACCTCCAGGACTCAAACAAAAGTAAAATAATAAAAATAAAATTGAAAATTGCTGAAAACCACCTTAACCCTTTCACTGTTGGTCCCACAATATTACGGCTTGCAAGCCAGTGTCAGTCCTGTAATGCTACGCCAAAATTCTAGCAGCTTCAAATCTGGCAGGAGAAAACTGGTAGGCCTACATGTGAGAGAATGGGTCTGTGTACTCAGTGTGCACAATATAAAAAAAATCGGGGAGGCCACAGTGCATTGTGGGAGTGCCAATTCAGTAAGCCTTGTTCATCATGCCTAGCAGTAAGGAATACCCCGGTGAACTGGGACTCTTCCCTTCCAAAGTGATAGCTCTAACACAGATAGAAGTGTCATGAAGATGAGTTTCATGGTTTTGAGGAGTCTGTGGCCGAAAGCAATGCCCAGGATACCAGAAATAGTGCTGAAAACTCAGATGACTATCAACCTTCCACCTCTGGTGCTGGGCCGTCTCATTCATGTTCAGATGTACTACGGCGAAAGAGGAAAATTATATTTTCCCATGTCCAGGACTCAGATGTGAGCAGTGGTCACGATAGTGATACTGATTATGATTTCCAAGCTCTTGATTATAATTCCAGTAACGACAGTGAAGAGGAATATTCTCCAGTGAAGCATCAATTTATACGAGGCTACATGCATTCTGGCAGTGTGCCATATGCTATTTCAAGGGAAAGGAGTAAATCTTGTGGCCTTACATCAGGAACAGATAGTGAAAAGAGAAGACAGTGTGGGCAGTGGGGAAGACAGCATGTAAGTATGTTTATTCAGGTATACACAGATATTGTTGCATAGATTATCATACATAGCAGCATGTGTATAGAGAACCTAGGATAACCCAAAAAAGTTAAAGTGACTTATTTCCATGTGGGTGGGGGGAAGACAGAATGGTTGGTGCGGAAGACGGTGTGGGTGGTGAGGATCCCAACATGGTTGGTGGGGAAGATGGTATGGGTAATGGGTAATGTTACAATTGGGATGAATAATACAGTGTATAGTACATGCGGCAGCAGGTGGTGGTGGTGTAATGCTTCATGTGGCACCAGTGGCACCTCAAGCTGGTAGCCATGCTGCTGACTCAGCACATCCACAACAAAGGCTACCTTCAACCACCCACACACCCCAAGAACCTGCATAACCACAATCACAACAACCTACCCACAAAAATGCATAGACACTCGTTTTACCGGTGAGGAGTATAAAACAGCACTGTGCGTAACACCATGTAGAGCTTTTTGAAGTTAGAAATGATCTGCTGGTCCATGGGCTGGATGAGAGGAGTGGTGTTAAGAGGCAAGAACTTTACTGTTATAAAACTGAAGTCCCTAAACAATTGGGCTTCCAAGTCTGGAGGATGAGCAGGAGCATTGTCCAGTACCAGGAGGCACTTGAGTGGCAATTTATTTTCTAGGAGGTATTTTTCACACTTGGACCAAACATTTCATAGACCCAGCCAGTGAAAATTTGCCTCGTGACCCATGCCTTATTATTAGCTTTCCACATCACACACAATTTACTCCTGACAACACTTTGGGATTTTCAGAGTGATACACCAGTAAAGGCTTCACTTTGAAATCCCCACTAGCATTACCACAGAACAAAAGTGTTAGCCTATCCTTCATAGGCTTGTGTCCTGGCAGTGCATTTTCCTCCTTCGTGATGTAGGTCCTCTTTGGCATTTTCTTCATCACAACTGAACACTTATTGGGGGAGGAATCCTTCAGCCTATACATACCTCTTGAATTCATGCACAAATTCTTCAGCCACATGTTTGTCTGAACTTGCAGCCTCACCATGCTTTACAACACTGTATATGCCACTACGCTTCTTGAATCTGTCGAACCAGCCTCTGCTGGCCTTAAATTCACTAATGGCAGCACTCATTCCAGGCATTTTCTTCATGAGATTTGCAAGTAATTGCCTTGCCTTTTCGCAAGTGATCAACTCCACAATACTATCTCCGGCTAATTGTTTTTATTTGATCCACACTAACAACAACTTCTCCATATCTTCGACTACTTGTGATCTCTGTTTCATTAGCACATTCACCCCTTTTGCAACTTTAGCTTCCTTGATATCTACTTTCTTTGCCAGGATGGAAAAGACTGTTGATTTCGACTTCCCATACATCCTGGCAAGCTCGGCTAAACATACGCCACTTTTGTATTTTTCTACATTCTCTTTTTTTTCATTCAGTCGTTTCTCAATTTCGTTACCAAAAGGCTGGCACTAGGAACTTTCTTTGGGCCCATGGTGCCTTATTTCAGTCACAATCAATAAACAAGCACAAAAATTGCGAAATGTTTCGGATGAAAGCTCACTCAAGCAGTGACAGAACCAGACTGACTGCATTCCCTGGGCCCACGGAAGCATATGATATTTGCGATTCCTGGGGCAAGGTCTGAAATTCGAAGCAAAATTTCACACAAAAAAAAGTTTCTGAAATCTGAAAAGTCCGATATCCGGTGCGTGTGAAATCCGGGGTTCCACTGTACTGTATTCTTATTCTCATATACTAAATATCTCAAATATTACAGGTAGTAATTATAAATTGGTTTTATGGCTGCCTTAAATTTTATGTATAACAAGGGCTTTCTATAAAGCAGTTTATACATGTCAATTACCATTACTGTATACTGTACAGTACCCTACTCTATAAAGTTGCTGAAGTACCACACCTTAAAACACACCCAGCATGACAAAAAAAAATTCTGTAAATAGTGTATAACTTCAGACTTGGTGAAAAAAAAATTCTAAAAATAAATTTGGATAAACATTTTAGTACTGTGAATGAATTTGTTACTACAAGGCCTGGTCATGGACTGGGCTGCGGTGGCATTGATTCCCGAAACCCTCTCCAGGTATACTCCAGGTATACTAGGCTTCAATACATTCAAATTACCTTAAAGAATAAAAAGACATTTCAAATTATTTTTCACCTATTATTTTGTAATTATATTTAATTTTTCATTTCCCACAATCCAAATAATAAACATAGTTGTTAGAATTTTTTGACAAATTTCAGATACAGGCATTTTAGTTAGAGGTGAGCCAAAATTAACCCCTTCAGGGTCGGTGCCATACTTGTACGGCTTGAGAGCCAGGGTCGGTGCTGTACTTGTATGCGTAAATTCTAGCGCCTTCAAATCGAGCAAATGAAAGCTGGTAAGCCTACATATGAAAGAATGGGTCTGCATGGTTAGTCTGCACAGTATAGAAAAATCCTGCAGCACGCAGTGCATAATGAGTAAAAAATCCGACCATGTTTTTGGTTTAAAACAGCGACTTTGCAGTGTATTTTTGTATGGAATTTATGGTTGTATTCTCGTTTTCTTGGTCTCATTTGATAGAATGGAAGATATATTACAGAAATAGAGATGATTTTGATTGGTTTCACAATGAAAAGTACCTTGAAATTGAGCTCAGATTAGTGGAAATGTTCAATTTTTGTCGATGTTCAAGACTAAACAAATCACGCCATGCATCCAATACACGTCAACTGGTGAATCTAATATTCTTTCACAGGTACACTGATATTATGTGTACCATTTTTACAATAATGCAGTAGTCTGCATAACAGTAATTTTTTTTTTTGTGAGAATAAAAATTCAAAATGGAAAGCAAGAGTAATATAAGAGGGGCCCTGGAGATGTGAATGTCTTCATTATTCTGGACCCTATTTTGAAACTGACATTTTTTTAAATGTGTGTGAAATTGGCAAAATTGCCAATTTTCGACTTCACTGGGTAGTTCAAATTGATAAATGGGTGGTTTCTTATACTCATTCGATAGAACAAATGGAGTTCTAGCAAAATAGCTATGATTTTAGTCAACTGGAACATTAGAATTGGCCGAAAATTGGGCTCAAAGTGGGGGAAATCACCAATGAGGGAAATCACCGACGTGTACCTGGAGTTTACCTGGAGAGAGTTCCGGGGGTCAACGCCCCCGTGGCCCGGTCTGTGACCAGGCCTCCTGGTGGATTGCTGCTGGCTGCACGCAAACCTACGTACGAGCCACAGCCCGGCTGATCAAGAACCGACTTTAGGTGCTTGTCCAGTGCCAGCTTGAAGACTGCCAGGGGTCTGTTGGTAATCCCCCTTATGTGTGCTGGGAGGCAGTTGAACAGTCTTGGGCCCCTGACACTTATTGTATGGTCTCTTAATGTGCTAGTGACACCCCTGCTTTTCATTGGGGGGATGGTGCATCGTCTGCCAAGTCTTTTGCTTTCGTAGTGAGTGATTTTCGTGTGCAAGTTTGGTACTAGTCCCTCTAGGATTTTCCAGGTGTATATAATCATGTATCTCTCCCTCCTGCATTCCAGGGAATACAGGTTTAGGAACCTCAAGCGCTCCCAGTAATTGAGGTGTTTTATCTCCGTTATGCGCGCCGTGAAAGTTCTCTGTACATTTTCTAGGTCGGCAATTTCACCTGCCTTGAAAGGTGCTGTTAGTGTGCAGCAATATTCCAGCCTAGATAGAACAAGTGACCTGAAGAGTGTCATCATGGGCTTGGCCTCCCTAGTTTTGAAGGTTCTCATTATCCATCCTGTCATTTTTCTAGCAGATGCGATTGATACAATGTTATGGTCCTTGAAGGTGAGATCCTCCGACATGATCACTCCCAGGTCTTTGACGTTGGTGTTTCGCTCTATTTTGTGGAGACCACTAACTTCGTGAGAGCATAATTCCATACATTTTCAATCAAATTTCATACTTTTGGTGTCATTACCATCAGGAAAAGATTCTCTATCATTTCATAAGAATTTTTTTTTATTTTTTTTATTTTTTTGACCCCTGACAGTGAGTTCAGGATCAGGGGTCCTCGACCCTGAAAGGGTTATGGATTAAATACTGATAAAAACAATTTTTTTTAATAATAATATAATAATAATCTATATTTCTACAAGTACATGTACAAGGTATACAGGTCTAGCTGACATCAGTGACATACTACTATATAGAAAGCTACTTATGCTGAGCATTTCAGGCAAATTAGGTAAAGTTTGTTCCCAGGATGCAACCCACACCAGTCGACTAACACCCAGGTACCCATTTTACTGATGGGTGAACATGGGCAGCAAGTGCCTTAAGGAAACACGTCCTAATGTTTCCACCTGTACCGGGAATCGACTCCCAGAACGTGAATGTGTGAGGTGAGTGTAGCAGCTACACCACACCCAGGTAGAGTGACCACCTAAAACAGGAAACACAGTCACCGTCATTCAGTGAATTACTGTCTTGCCACAGGTGCTGACGTCACAGTTCAGATGGCTCTCCAAACTACAACATCCATCGGTTATTATTATTATAATCAAGGGGAAGCGCTAAACCCGTAGGATTATACAGCGCCTGGGGGGGGGGATGTGGAAGGCATTCAGGCTTAATTCAGGGAACTGGAGCACAGATCCAATTCCCTAAATCAAGAGCCCCTCACCAACATCAAGGAACCTTCCCTGAGGGGAGAATCCCTGGGTTAGAGACCTTAATATCATAGGAAAACCTAGAGTGATACAGTTGATCCCTGGGTTAGGGACCTTGATAACTTAGGGAGACACACAGTGACACAAGGTAAACACAAGGTAGCAGGCTCACCTTTACGGACTGGTGGAGGAGGTGGAGCTGCTCTTACAAATTTTGACATTTTCTACTGCTTGCCACAATATCTCTGAAAAATTAATTTAATATAATCTGTAAATTGTAACTGTAAACCTCGACTTAAAATTGTAGTGCCCCTAGAAGGCAGCAGCAGCACCACACTGACACAAGCACCGCCAGCAGCAGCACAACACTGACACAAGCACCGCCAGCAGCAGCACCACACTGACACAAGCACCGCCAGCAGCAGCACCACACTGACACAAGCACCGCCAGCAGCACCACACTGACACAAGCACCGCCAGCAGCACCACCACACTGACACAAGCACCGCCAGCAGCACCACACTGACACAAGCACCGCCAGCAGCACCACCACACTGACACAAGCACCGCCACTACACGGTCACCCTTAACTTGCTTCATGTTTAATATTCAGTATTTTTATATATTTTTTTTTATCTCGAAAGCCAACGGATTGTTTTTGAAACAATTAAAATATTGTTCATTTTTTAATGTTAGACATTGTCCCTTGTTGGTCACCATAGAGCAGTTGGTGGCCAATGGTGCTAATGTGAGAATCGTGAGAATGATGTAAGATAAGATAAGATAAGATTTCGTTCGGATTTTTAACCCCGGAGGGTTAGCCACCCAGGATAACCCAAGAAAGTCAGTGCGTCATCGAGGACTGTCTAACTTATTTCCATTGGGGTCCTTAATCTTGTCCCCCAGGATGCCACCCACACCAGTCGACTGACACCCAGGTACCTATTTGCTGCTAGGTGAACAGGACAATAGGTGTAAGAAAACGTGTCGGAATTTCCACCCGCCGGGAATCGAACCCGGGCCCTCCGTGTGTGAAGCGGGAGCTTTAGCCACCAGACCACCGTCCTTAATTGATTATGCTGCTCCCATGTTGATATTAGCTAGAGAAAGTTCTCTCCGACCCTTGGAGTTAATGCAAAATGAAGCTCTCAGGATTATTCTTGGCTGTCCCAGATCTACAAAAGTTCTTAACATGAGGAAGGAGCTTGGTATTTCTAGTATCAGTGATAGGATTGTTGAAATTAACACTGTACTCGGTATTAGAATGTTGAGAAACGAACCAGACACTGTCACAGTGAATCTTACCAAGTGTCTAGAGGTAAATACACACAGATCTAAATGGATTGTGAAAACGTGCAATTGCATTAAGTTTTATAACCTGCATGAACTGTATCACTGTAGGCAACAAGAGCATTTCACCCCTCCATGGAAGATGTGTTCATTTAATATCACATACCTGCAAGTCCCTCCCAAGAAGCTCATTGCTAGTAATTCCTTCCTTAAATCCCTTGTTAGAGCAACTGCTCAAGAAGAAATTTCTCACCTAGCTGGTAGTAACAAGTTATCACAAGTTATATACACTGATGGATCTAAACAGGAGTCTTCTGGCAGGGCTGCATCTGCTCTTGTTGCCACCTCCCTAGTTAAGAACCATAATAAATTTGTTGAGTTAGGCAAAAGAATTAACAACTGGGCGTCTACACTGCAAAGTGAATTGTTTGCAATCCTAATGGCGCTAAAGCTAACCTATGACACTGAGCTTGACTCTGTCATCATTACTGATTTTGTGTCATCATTGAAGGCTCTTGACTCATATAATGACTCCAACAACATGCTCATTGGAGAAGCCAGGTATAGATACTCAAAAATTAGGGACAAAGGAATTAATGTACAATTGCTATGGATCCCATCACACATTGGGTTACTCCTTCATGATAAAGTTGATATGTTAGCCAAGAAGAGTACCCAGAAGGAGAATGTAGAATATAACTTTGGTATAACTGTGTCTAGCATTAGGAATAATATTAGGAGAGAAGTAAATAATGAAGATGATTGTTATAGGAATACAGTTAGAAGCCTGAGTAGATCTATAACCCACTATGATAACATGAACGTAGATAAGTATGTTTATGGAGCAACTTGCAATGTGAACAGACTGACTGATGTTGTAGTGGCCAGGCTTAGGCTTGGTTACAAGTACTTCTGGCAGTTTGGGAGACACACAGATGATGATCAAACTAAATGTAAATTATGTGATCAGGCATATGGTCACTCTCTTGAACACTATGTGCTTAATTGTCCACTTATTGAGGAATACAGAGACAGACAGTATAATAACCTATGTGACATGTCAAGATATCTTATTAATGAAAATAAGATACCAGATGTGATGAATGGTTTGAAAAACCGACAAGTTGAAGATTGAGACACTTATGCAGCATATGGGAATCTTTATTCAGGAAACGTTTCGCCACACAGTGGCTTCATCAGTCCAATACAAAGAGGAAGGCGTAAGGAGAGGAGGAGTATGAGGTAATCAGTCCCTCAGCCTGGAGTCGATGTGTTCAGTCCATCAATCTTGTAGAATGTACAGCACAGGGCCGTAGACGTGGCTTATGTACTGTAGTGAGGTGAGGTGAAGCAGGCGGAGGCGGGGTCATAGTGGTACCATCCACTAGTCGAAGTAGGTCTTCGTCCAAAGGTTGAACAAGTGTTGAAGAATTCTTTGTAACAAGATCCCATGATGCTGCAGTGTCTGACAGTTGTGATGAATGGTTTGAAAAACCGACAAGTTGAAGATTGAGACACTTATGCAGCATATGGGAATCTTTGTGCAAGAAAGGTATAGAATACCGAAAATATGAAAGTTAAGACACATGTGCAACATCTGGATATCTTTATTGTAGACGTTTCGCCATCCAGTGGCTTTATCAATACAGATTCTAGGACATAATAGGAAGACAGTAGAACTATATACAAAAGATGAGGTAATCAGTCCCTCGGCCTTGGAGTTAGTGTTCACAGCATCGTGGTGGAGAAGAATCTGAAGCAAAGGCAAGAAGACCGGCGTTTATATACGTGTCAGTGGAAGGGACGGGCAGCAGAAGAGGGCAGTCACTGGTAGGCGGGATTCCCCAGTGGAAGTAGGTCCTTCCCAAAGAGATGGGTTAGTTGCAGCAGCCGTGAAGGTCTTGTAGATGTCCTCTGAACCAAGATTCCATGATGTTGCAGTGTCTGACAAGTTGTGCAAGAAAGGTATAGAATACCGAAAATATGAAAGTTAAGACACATGTGCAACGTCTGGATATCTTTATTGTAGACGTTTCGCCATCCAGTGGCTTTATCAATACAGATTCTAGGACATAATAGGAAGACAGTAGAACTATATACAAAAGATGAGGTAATCAGTCCCTCGGCCTTGGAGTTAGTGTTCACAGCATCGTGGTGGAGGAGAATCTGAAGCAAAGGCAAAAAGACTGGCGTTTATATAGGTGTCAGTGGAAGGGACGGGCAGCAGAAGAGGGCAGTCACTGGTAGGCGGGATTCCCCAGTGGAAGTAGGTCCTTCCCAAAGAGATGGGTTAGTTGCAGCAGCCGTGAAGGTCTTGTAGATGTCCTCTGAACCAAGATTCCATGATGTTGCAGTGTCTGACAAGTTGTGCAAGAAAGGTATAGAATACCGAAAATATGAAAGTTAAGACACATGTGCAACATCTGGATATCTTTATTGTAGACGTTTCGCCATCCAGTGGCTTTATCAATACAGATTCTAGGACATAATAGGAAGACAGTAGAACTATATACAAAAGATGAGGTAATCAGTCCCTCGGCCTTGGAGTTAGTGTTCACAGCATCGTGGTGGAGGAGAATCTGAAGCAAAGGCAAGAAGACTGGCGTTTATATAGGTGTCAGTGGAAGGGACGGGCAGCAGAAGAGGGCAGTCACTGGTAGGCGGGATTCCCCAGTGGAAGTAGGTCCTGCTGCAACTAACCCATCTCTTTGGGAAGGACCTACTTCCACTGGGGAATCCCGCCTACCAGTGACTGCCCTCTTCTGCTGCCCGTCCCTTCCACTGACACCTATATAAACGCCAGTCTTCTTGCCTTTGCTTCAGATTCTCCTCCACCACGATGCTGTGAACACTAACTCCAAGGCCGAGGGACTGATTACCTCATCTTTTGTATATAGTTCTACTGTCTTCCTATTACGTCCTAGAATCTGTATTGATAAAGCCACTGGATGGCGAAACGTCTACAATAAAGATATCCAGATGTTGCACATGTGTCTTAACTTTCATATTGTCGGTATTCTATACCTTTCTTGCACAACTTGTCAGACACTGCAACATCATGGAATCTTGGTTCAGAGGACATCTACAAGACCTTCACGGCTGCTGCAACTAACCCATCTCTTTGGGAAGGACCTACTTCCACTGGGGAATCCCGCCTACCAGTGACTGCCCTCTTCTGCTGCCCGTCCCTTCCACTGACACCTATATAAACGCCAGTCTTCTTGCCTTTGCTTCAGATTCTCCTCCACCACGATGCTGTGAACACTAACTCCAAGGCCGAGGGACTGATTACCTCATCTTTTGTATATAGTTCTACTGTCTTCCTATTATGTCCTAGAATCTGTATTGATAAAGCCACTGGATGGCGAAACGTCTACAATAAAGATATCCAGTTGTTGCACATGTGTCTTAACTTTCATATTTTCGGTATTCTATACCTTTCTTGCACAACTTGTCAGACACTGCAACATCATGGAATCTTGGTTCAGAGGACATCTACAAGACCTTCACGGCTGCTGCAACTAACCCATCTCTTTGGGAAGGACCTACTTCCACTGGGGAATCCCGCCTACCAGTGACTGCCCTCTTCTGCTGCCCGTCCCTTCCACTGACATCTATATAAACGCCAGTCTTCTTGCCTTTGCTTCAGATTCTCCTCCACCACGATGCTGTGAACACTAACTCCAAGGCCGAGGGACTGATTACCTCATCTTTTGTATATAGTTCTACTGTCTTCCTATTATGTCCTAGAATCTGTATTGATAAAGCCACTGGATGGCGAAACGTCTACAATAAAGATATCCAGATGTTGCACATGTGTCTTAACTTTCATTGGAATCTTTATTCAGGAAACGTTTCGCCACACAGTGGCTTCATCAGTCCAATACAAAGAGGAAGGCGTAAGGAGAGGAGGAGTATGAGGTAATCAGTCCCTCAGCCTGGAGTCTATGTGTTCAGTCCATCACTCTTGTAGGAAGTGCAGCATAGGGCCAGAGAGGTGGCTTATATACTGCGGTGAGATGAGTTGAAGCAGGAAGAGGCAGGATCACAGTGGGACCTGCCACTAGTGTAAGTAGGTCGTTGTCCAAAAGTTGGGCAAGCGTTGAAGTCTTTGTACCAAGATCCCATGATATTGCAGTGTCTGACAGATGTGATGAATGGTTTTGAAAACCGACAAGTTGAAGAATTGAGACACTTATGCAACATATGGGAATCTTTATTGAAGAAACGTTTCGCCACACAGTGGCTTCATCAGTCCAATACAAAGTAGAAGTGGGTAAGGA